CTATGAGTCTATCTGTTTGATGAGGTTTCACAGAATCACACGGGGTCAGTGAGTGTCTATGTACCAGGATTCGGAGGGTACTGCCTGAACCCTAGCTGTTTGGAGAAGTAGCATCTTTGATTGCAGAATAATTTTACAAGAGAGATGAAGGATGGAGTCAGGCACACAGTGATTAACCACTGCTTGTGATCCAGGGTTAAATGCAATTCTGATGTTAGTGTCTCTGTGGGCCGTAAGAATAATTTGTGAAATTTGACAATCTCATATACCTCCTTAATAAGCCTTAAACCAAGGGGAAAGAAATGGACAAACATTGACATCAAACTAGCAATGTGACTCCAAGAAATGAGAATGCTGCCATGGAAGATGGAAATGCTGGACTGTTGCAGGATTCAATGTTCTCCTGAGAGGGAAGTTAAACCACATTATTGTTGAAGAATAAAGGGGGTCATTACAGAGCCAGTTGTGTGCAATCAATGGTGCCCTACAATGGTGCATTCCAGGTAAATAGGATCTAAAGCTGAAGCTCAGCCCTCTTTCTCGGCACCGACAGGTACATCACAGGTCGACATTGTTCACAACTTAATTTTGACAATTCACAATCACAAGGAGGATTCCTGTTGATCGTTACCTGGCTTTTCACGGGAGTAACCAGATCCTGTCTACGCCAGTCAACAATTGCACCTTGCAATTCCTCATCACTTTCTTCAAATTCTTCATCATCTTCAGTATCATCTTCTTCATCAACTTCCTCTTCAGTCGAGTTATCAACTTCAACTTGGAGGAATCCATTCATGAGTTCATTAAACTCTTTATTGGTCTAGAAAGTCAAACACATGAAGTCTCATTAATGAAAGCAGTACCTGTGAATGGACATTGTGCAGGAGGAGGGTTGATAACCTCACAGAGCTGGAAGGCACCATTTTGTACTCAGATCTGACATTTCGCTTTTCAATTTATTTCACTCCCACAGTGCAATTTGTTTTTCATTAATTTTTCAATGAGTTTTCTCAGAACTCTAAACTACCATTAATCCAAATGATGGCTTTTCGTCTTCACTGTGTGAGGTGAGGGCCAGGGAGAGATTCCTGAGGCTGGTGTATTGACTACTGTCAGCAATATTCCATCATTTGAAAATTGTCTCTTGCTTAGGTGCAGGTGAACCTGTCCCATGCTTTATATTTGGAAATTACAGCAGATATATGGGCAATGCCCCAGCCCACGGGATTGGCTGTTTGACAAGAGCAAACAGGATGAAAATGGATGTAAATTGGAAGGCAGAATCTATTTTGTGAAACATACATTTGCAAAGAAGGTGAGATTCTTTGTTAAAAATCACAAACCATATCACAACGCATGCAGTGAAGTAATTTCACGTTCTGTTTGAGGGTCAGAAATGTGGAATAAAGTAAAGTCAAATAAAAGGGTCTGAAATCAGAGTTGGCTAAGGTTACTTCAAAACTGGTTTGAAATGTAAAGTATACAGAAGCAATGCAAGATTCTGTAAGTCTAAACCAGTCTCTGCTGACACTGTTCGCAACTGCGATGCTCAGAAATGCAGAAATGTGCTTGGCCAGTATCTTTTGCCCGTGCCAAATTTGTACATGTGAAGTCAGGATCCATGCAGAATTCCAATGGCGTCATCCGAGAAACAACAGGACACATGCAGAAGCGTGCAATTGAAACCAAAATCAGGGAGGGAAAGAGGAAACAGGAGAGCGGGAATAGGGAGAAAGAGGGGACGGCTGGAGTGGAGGAAAGTATGGAGAAGGGAAGATGTGGAGAATGAAGAATGGGGCGAAGTGGGTAGAGAGGGCAAGCAAGGGGTGACAGAGTGAGGGAGAATGTGGAATAAGGGACAGGGGAAGATTGTGAAACAGGCAGGGAGGGAGGGGGGAATTGAGCAGGGGTCGGCAGGGGAAGGAGTGTGGCAAAGAGTGAAGGTGGGGTAGAGAGTGTAGGGTGGGGTACAGCAAGTGTGAAGAGTTTGAGGGGAGGAAGGGAGTGGGGCAGAGAGTGCGGGAGGGGGGGACTGTGTGGGGGAGTTAGGGAAAGGGGGCAGTGTGGAGGGAAGGGGGAAGTAAGTAAGAGTGGTGGAGGAATTAGGGTGGAAGTTGGGGAAGGAGTGTGGGAAGGAGCGAACGGTGAGGGTGTAGGGAAAGCAGCAAGGAAGGAGTGAGGGGGAGGGAATGAGAAGAGGGAGGAAGTGAGGGAGTGTGGGCTGCGCATGGGGGTGAAAGTGAGTGAGAATGGTGTGAGGGAGGGTTGGAACAGGGAAAGTGTGGGGGAGGGATGGAAGGATTGGAGGTGTGATAGGGGTGTATCACATCAGTGAGGGTGGGAATAAGGAAATGATGGAAGGAATAGTGGAGGGTGGGAATGTGTGAATGAATGA